ACAGGTGAAACAGACTTGCTGGGTTAAAGGACCCAAAGCCGCATAGCTGCCACACCTTGCAAACCAGGATCTGAACTCGGGTGTCTTATACTGTAAAACCCATGTTCAAGAGCATAGAAGGTAGCAGGTCAGTGTCTGGCACATAGCAGGTGTTTTTCCTCCCCTTCTCCCTTTTTACAAACTTCAGTCTCTTGGAAAGGTGCAGAGGCCTGTTCCATCGTGGCCAGCTTATGTTCTGTCACTCCCTGTGTCCCATCAACACCAGTGACCCATCAACTCCTGTGTCCCATCAACACCACCACTTGTCAGGCCGCATCAGATCACTTGCTGGTCCCCAAGGTCCCCAGACTCCCTGTTCTTCCTTAACTCTGTCTTTTTGAAATCCTCTTTCCCACTGCTTGGCAAGCCTTTTCTCTGTGTGTGTGTGTGTGTGTGTGTTTGGGTGGGGGAGGGTTGGGCGGGTAATTAGGTTTATTTATTTATCTGTTTAATCGAGGTACTGGGGATTGAACCCAGGACCTACATGCATGCTAAGCATGTGCTCTACCACTGAGCTGTACCCTCCCCCCTGCAAGCTGCCTCTTTCTCTGTCTTTCTCACCTGCAAGCATCAGGCCAAATAGCACCTACTCTGGGATGCTTTCTCTGACCCCCAGACACAGAATCTGCGGCTCCAGCATCCCTTTGGCTATCTCCACTTGTCGTGTACACCTTGTTCGGATGTGGATGAGTGCTTATTTGGGCCTGTCTCTTCCCTTCTTTGTATCCTTGGTACCAGGCCCTGTTCCTGAGATAGTGTGGGCACTCATAGGAGTGTGTGGAATTTAGTTCAATCCCTCATCCTTTCCTATGACTAATGCTTAATTTCATCTGTTTTGCAAGGTGAAAACGTTCCCCCAAAGAATTGTTTGCGTCACCTCCGTTCTCTCCGACTCCCACGCCCACCTCCTCACTCATCTGCTTTTGTAAGGTCACCAGGGACCTCCACAAACACTTTCTTGTCCTCATTCTCCCAAGCTCTCAGCAGTGCTGGGCGGAGATGTCACTCCCTTCTTAAGTCACTCTTTCCTCTTGGCTTCTGGGCATCACAGTCTGCTGGTTTCCTCTTGCCTCTCCAGGCTCTCCTGGTCCTCAGCTGACCCCTAGATCAGTGCCTCAGAGCTCTGTCCGAGGCTTCATTCTCTTCTCTCCTTACATTCATCTCCTGAGTGGGCTTGTCTCTTCCTGGAGTTTAAAATACTACCTCCATCTTCAGTTCTCAGCTCCAGAGTCAAATATCCAATAACCTCAGTGAGTTAATTCAACCACTTAGATGATCCATAGGTACCTCAGGCTGTCAGTTTTGTCCCCCAGATCCTTCCACCCTCGGTCTTCACCCTTGTAGTGAAAGACGCAATCCTGGATCCCCTTTCTGGGATCTTGAGAGCCACTCATCTAGGAAGAAGGTGTCTTAGAAGAGGACTCTGATCTAGAAATGTCTGAATATCACAGCCTCCCACTATCTGACGCAGGTTTGGAGGAAGACCAGATTATCTCACCTGGTATGCAATGCCCTGCCTGTTGCAAGCCCAGCCTACCTTTCCAGCCCATCCTTTATCCCGCCCCTAAATCAGAAACAACTTGCAGAAAAAGCTTCCTGACCTCTTGCTGTGGTCTGAATGCGTGTGTGCGTTGCCCCAACACCACATTCATGTGATGGTATTTGAAGGTGGGGCCTTTGGGAGGTGATTAGGCATGAGGAGGAACCCTCAAGGATGGGATTCGTGCCTTTATAAAAGGGACCGCAGGGAGCAGAGATCTCCCTCGCCCCTTCCACCGTGTGAAGACTCAGCAAGAAGACATCGTCTATAAACAGGAAGTGGGCCCTCATCCGACTCCAAATCTGCCTTTGCCTTGACCGTGGACTTCCCAGCCTCCAGAACTCTGAGAAATCAACTTCTTGTTTGTAAGTCACCCAGTCTCTGGTGTTTTGTTGTAGCAGCCTGAAGGGACCAAGACACTTCAGCTCCAGATGCATCAAGCCAGCCCCTGTCCCTTAAACGCACCTGCAAAGGTCCACTCTTGGACTCATTGCTCTCAGTTCCTCTCCATCTACCTCCACCTGCCTTCAGGCCTTTCCAGTCCAGTGTCTTCTAGAATCTTCCATGTCTGCTCCACCCAACAATTTCTCATCCTCTTAAAACCCTCTAGTAACACATCAAGTTGGTAGACTTACCACCAGGGCCTTGTACTGACTGTTAGCTTTCCTGGCGCTTATGTGGTGCATCCTTCCCAGATGGGGAGCAAGGACTGGACGGTGTCTGCTTCATCTTGTTTCCCACGCCCAGCACAACGCCTGGCTACACTCCAAGTGCTAAGGAAGTAGCCAGTGGTCTCATCGATGCTGGCATCCCCCTACTTGAGGGCTGTCCTTCTATTTGCTTAGATTTTCTGTTGTAAGGAAGATGCAGGTTTGACCCAGTTCCCTCGAGTTTATCTCTGTGAGGCGCTGAAGGCAGGCGGAGATGGATAAGTTGCAAGAACAGCTTTAGGAGACTGCCTGGGCTTCTGGGGCAGCAGGTGAAAAAGGCCCCGGGCTCCAGCCCCAGCTCAGCCCCTGACCATGAGTTTGCTATTTCACCTCTCTTTCCTCAGTTTAATCATCTGTAAAATTGGTAAGTGGAAATTGGGTATCTGCTTGAGCAGAGGATTCCCTAAGATCCTTTCTAGCTCCTCAACCTCAGGATCCTGTTTTTCCTAAAAGCCCTCAGTGTGGTAAGAATTCCCAAGCTCCCCTCCCAGGAGAGGCAGGGGCGCTCGCCTGAGCCCCCGCCTTGGGCACTAGCCCTCGCCGTCTCCTTCCTCGTCCTGGCAGCACCACACTTCCGGGGGAGAGGCGTGCTTATCTCCATTTGGCTGGCCAGGAAATGACACCCAAAGAGGATTTGCCCGAGCTTGGCCGGCCTGTCATGCGACTCCAGGGATGTCCCTCACACCACAGCCTGTGTGAGCAGTGCTCCCCGGGACCATTGCACATCAGTGATTCTCAAGCTTTAGTGTTTGAATCACCCAGGGATCTCGTTAAAATAGATTTTGATTCAGTCACTCTGAGGTACAGCCCAAGATTCTGTATTTCTAACAAGCTCCCAGGCGATGTGGCTGTTGCCTGGTCTCTGGACCCCACTTTGAACAGCCAGGTCGTACGCAACCTGTGTGGCTGTACACGGCAGCCCTCAAAAGCAGGTGTGGGAGTTCAGCTTAGGTCTTTTCACTCAAAGTCCTGTGTACTCAGTGCTGAGCCAGGACTTTGCAAAAAGCACCTCCACTCTGGGCACATGGGTCCCTGGAGAACTAGAGAAAGCTTGATAAGGAAAGACTTACTAAAGAGAAACTGAGTCCTGCCCTGCTGGTCAGGAATCCTCAGCCAGGGCCCTTCTGGTGCAGGCACAGGTCTGCAGAGGCCAGGAGCCCTGTGGGAACAAAGAGGGGCCAAGGGACCGCATGCCTGGCATCACGGTGATCTGGGGCAGGAGGAATGAAGAATGACAGCCTGACGGCCGAGCTCCTGTCTGCAGCTCCCAGGGCGGCTAATGAGCAAGGCGTTCTTCCGTTCTTCCGTTCTCCGTGCAAGGGCTGAGAAGTGGGATGATGCTTGCAAGGGGAGAGAGGTGCTGAGCTGCCTGGGAGGCCTTAATTTCTGGGATCCTCCCCGCCACAGCTGAGCTGGATCTGGGCGTGTTGCTGTTTGCTGGGAACAGCCTGACATTTTACAAGGAACCCTTTGCACATGGATGCTCCTTCTGGTCTCTCACGAATAACTGCCCGAGAGGCGCAGGTGCTCCCCGCTGGGGCTGGACTTTCAGCTGGGGAAGCCAACATGACATCATATACTGGGACAGGCTTTGTAAACTACAGAAAGCTGTGCAAATGCCAGGAATCCGGGGGTGAAAGGTGGGTCTGCAGTGAGGCACAGCGCTGGAGGGGAGTTAGAGAGGCAGCGGTGAAAGAAGGGCTCCTGAGGGGCAAGGCTGGGAGTCCTTGGGGAAACCCGGCAGCAGAGAACTGGGTGTCCAGAAAAACAGAGGAGAGGACAGAGGGAGCAGCCAATCTGCAGGTGGGGACCTGGGTTAGACATTAGCCCTGCCACTCGCCAGCTTCAGGCAAGTACCTGCAGTTCTGTGAGCCCCTTCCGCCTCCTGTGTGCCTAGGGACAAAAAAACAGCAGGGGCTGGGACATCTCTGCCGGATTACCAGTGGTTTATGTGTTCCTGGGGGTGCCTAACACAGTAAATGTAAGTTGACTCTGAGGCTCGGGGTCACGTGTGGCAGGCCGCTGAGCACTGAGCAGGGACTGGGAGCCCTGCTTGGCCATGGGGTCCTGGACTGGCCTTGACAAATGTCTTCCTCTTGCAGGGCCTTGGTTTCCCCATGTGCATATTGGGGAGGGGTTGGTGTGAATGGCCCACAAGTGCCCTTCTAGCCCTGGGCCTGGGCTCCAGATGGCTGCAGGTTCTGGCCAGCAAGGCCTGAATTGGGAAATCTACTCTGAGGCTTCAACAGGGCTAAGCTGGCAGAACCTTCCAGGGCCAGAGGGATGGGCCTCAGCCTCCACTGGGGTTGGATTCTGAAGCCAAATGGCCACTCAGCAGCATCTCCCCTCAGGCAGGGGCCCAGGGCTGCCCAGTCGCCAGATGCTGGGCTAAATGGAGCTTTAGCCTTGCAAGGCTATGTCTGAGCAGCAGGGCGAGCCCCTTGGGCATGGTCTTAGGGCTCTGCTTCACCCTCTCTGCTCCCATGTCCACAGGCAGGAGAACCAGGGAGACACACTGGTTTCTGCATCCTCAGCAGGCCGTGTTCCAGAAACTCAGCAGAGAAATGTGACGGGAATAAAGATACAAACTGGGCTGGTGCGGATGCAGGGCCTGTGGGGTCAGAGGGCATGTCCATGGAGAACACAGATGGGGAAGGCTGAGACCCAGAGGCAGAACTTTCTCGGGGTTGCATGGAAGCAGGAGGCAGAGCCAGGCCTGCTTCCTGCACTGTATCTTCTTTCTGCCACTTACTGTCTTCTGGCACAGACCATATAACTGCTATTTCAAAATGCTATTGTTTCTGTCTTCTGATTCTAACTCTCTCCCCGACAGCCCTTCTGAAATGGGAAGCCAATGCACCTGTCCCCCTGGAGTCTGCTGGCTGTTCGGATAAACATCCTGTTTCTTCAACCATTTTGCTCCCCATTAGGGTTGCTAGATTTAGGAAAAGATTTATTAAGACAGGACATCCAGGAAATTTAAATTTCAAGTAATGAATAATTTTTTAGTGTTAAGTACAATCTATGCAGTATTGGGGACAATCTTATAATAAAAATTATGTGTTGTTTCTCTGAGATTCAAATTTAACTGAATGTCCTCTATTTTATCTGATAACCCCACCTACCCCCCTACCCCCACCCCCACCACATCCTGGCTAACCTCTCTGGGGGGTGCTGGCAAAGTTTCAAGAACATGGAGGGTCTCCTTTCAGTGCAGGGCGGCTTTAATGGGCAGCCCCTAACCACCTCACCGCCTGCCTCACCCTGGCAGCCCGCAGGCTCCCCACCCTCACGCCTGTGGCCAGTTTATGCTGGAGGAGGGGCGGCTCGTTCTCCGCACGGACCTTGTTCACTGTCTCTGGCTCCCATTCCAGCCCCAGGCAGGTTGCTGATCTCTCCACTCCTTGGTCACGCTGTTCATTACCACCATTCAGCCACTTGGCCTTTGTTTCTGGGCATCTAGAACACAATTTATTCTTCTCTTCCACCCTTAAATGGGGGCTCTGGGAAAGGAGCCAAGGATTTGTGAAGGGTCCCTGAAAGCTCCACCTGCCCTGCCTGCCTCCTGCGGCTGGCCTCACACCTGTAGGGTGGATGTGACCTGCTCCACGCCACAGGCAGTGGCTCCTGGACTCTCCCCAAGAAGTCCTCTGCTGAAGAAGGAAGCCATCTGAAAATCCCAGCCATGGCCCCCATGGGCCTGTGTTCACGGCCCACTCTGTACCAGCAGAAAGCTCAGTCAGCACCTCTGTCCACTCCGGGGCTGCAGAGGAGACAAGTGAGAGAGCCCCCTTCCTCCTCCTCCTACCGCCCTCTGCCCCTCCCCAAGGACAGAGGCCAGCCGGGCACACACATGCACACACAGCTCCCAGAAGCCAGTCAGGTGACAGACCTCTCCCGGTCTCCTCCCTCTGCTGTGCTTAGCCTGGTGTTCCCCTGAGGCCGACTGAGTGATTTGTGTGAAAGTGGTTTACCAGGAAGCTCTCAAGGAGAAAGCCCCGCAGAGGAACAGGACAGTGAGGCAGGGAAGCAAAGAGAAGATGCCAAGTAAGAGCGCGGATTCGAGGGAAGTTGCTCAGAGGGTGACTTTGGCCCCGTCCCATGGGGAGCTTCTGGGGACACCTCGGCATTGTCCCCATCAGTGATAAGACGGTGAGGTGTCCACATGTCTGCACTGCCAGTCCTTGCGGGACACAAATTTCCAGGCACTTCCTGGTCCGGGTGGGTGCAGGCAGAGTGGTTCTGGCAGCCTGGGGCTGCCCTCCCGGGGGGAGGGTGTGAAGGCCGGGGGTGGGCCAAGGCGGGGGATGCAGAGGGAAGGTGGGGGCAGGAGCGCGGGGAGGGGCAGGGCGGCCCACCCAAAGCACACCTCGGAGTTTGTTTCCCTCAGAAAAAGCTCCCCTAACACAGCACTCCCACCCCGCCCCTGCGGTCTCCAGTTCCAAAGCCATTACTCTGAGAACAATAAGCCCATTGTCCACACTTCCTGACCAATCCCCTCAGTGTGGCCAGGAGGAGAGAGGGGCAGGTCCAAGGGCTGAAGGCCCA